CAATGGGGAACTGAAAGGTGGTTTTGTCCTGGCCTGGCTAGCGGGGACTGAACGCCCTGGAATGAACACATACTACTAATCTAGTTCATGGCTGGGGCAGTATTAAAACTTTATATTCCTTATTGGGTTTACGTACCCTTAACATGTACAATGTTACCCAACTATGACCTAGTAATTTGTTCCGGTGGAGGACCTGTGCCCCTGGAGTGCAGGTTTTTTTTGGGGAAAGGGTCTCTTCCCCTGTTTTGTTGTGCCAGTTCTGCTGTAAGGGCGAGGATTTTTCGGCCTGCGCTACGTTCATGCAAGGGAGTGGACCTTAACAATTGGCGTGTTTTAGACAAATACGAGCATGGGAGGGCGGCCCAGAAGGTACCACAACCTAGGCCAGATGTCCCTAACTACAGTTAGTTAGTGCCGTAAGGGGACCCTCATGGTAGGTTCCTCCAGGTACCCCCAGACTCACCCAAAACCTGCAAAATCTAAAGCCGAAGCTCATGAAGCCCTAAACCCTCATCCCTAAACCCTAAACCCTAAGGGCTAAACCCTAAACCCTAAACAGCAGCTGCACAGCATACCTATTTCGGGGTTCTCTTGCAGCACCGGGGTTGGGATCCCCAGTGATTACCTGAAAAAAGGTGTGTGCCCGAAAAACCCCTATCCGTGCCCTCATGAAGGGACACTCGGGCAGATTTCAGGAAAGCCCCAAAGCCCAAACGCGCTTCGACGTGGAATAGACCCTTACTGGGTAGCTGGGTTAGAAGCCCTAAACCCCAAGGCCGCCCTAACGGGTTTTGGGCGAAGGGTGCGGGTTGCGGGTTCTGGTGTGTTGGTGTTTGGGTAACTCCTAGCTGGGGCCCCATTTACCTGCTATTTTGCGGGGGGGGGGGGGGGGTATACCCTACATTTAGGGGGATATGTACCTACTCATTTGGAGTCTAAGGTAACCCGAAGGCTCCCAGAAAGTCTCTGCTTGTCGGGTTTTGGGGCTTAGAAAAGGCCTGAATACATGACATGAGGTTTCGAGCTGTGTCATGAGCCGCTCTAAAGCCCCTGAGCCCTGAACACTCTCTAAGCCCGAACGACAAACTCCGAACTGAGCAGCCGGCGCGAGCAGGTTGCTATCCTGATGGATTTGCCGATGTTGCACTACTCTGGACCTAGAGTCCTACAGTCATATAGGCACTACAGGCTCTAATTACAGGCTTGTTGGGGACGATCATGTAACACAAAATTCTCGGGCTATTTTGCTGACCTTGGGATTCGGATGTGGTTGCGGCTTGGGGACCTACGTGCCTGAAGGACATCTTGCATGGAAAAGCCCAGCCACTCCCCCAGACCGCACAAAAAGGCAACAAAGAAACATCAACGGAAAACACTGATGCTAAGACAAAGAGTTGTAGCGCACCTCCTGCAGACTCCAATCTAGTTCCTTTCTTGATCGCATACTTCACGAATGAGAAAAGGACACAGCGGACCCCAAAAGGAACGACACGGAATATCAGTTTTCAGGTAAGAATATGTAGCAATACGAGCAGCGATAACTATTCTCATCACGAATGTATGTTCGCACAAGGAAACGAAGAAAGGTACGTGTAGTAATTCTGCACACACACAAAAGTAACAGATACATCAACATACTCAACTCTTAAACCCCTGTAAACCCTAAACCCTGAACCCTAAACCCTAAAGGACCCTAAGCCCCAAACCCCAAACCCCAAACCCTAAACCCTAACCACAAAACCCAAAACCCAAAACCCTAAACCCTAAACCCTAAACCCTAAACCCTAAACCTCCCCCTGCCCCGGCCTCCGGGCACCAGCAGATGGCGGTGATGGCGCGCTCGTGGGCGGCGATCATCTTCTGGAGCGTGTTGTCCTCAGGGAGGATGGAGGGTTTAGGGTTTGGGGTTTAGGGTTTAGGGTTTAGGGTTTGGGGTTTAGGGTTTAGGGTTTAGGGTGTAGGGGTTAGGGGTTTAGGGTTTAGGGTTTAGGGTTTAGGGTTTAGGGGTTTAGGGTTTAGGGGTTTAGGGTTTGGGGCTTGGGGGTTGCTACAGTTGATGCACCTTCTGCACCTCTTCATCCACCGGACAGGCTACACCAGAATGCCTAAACCCTAAACGGGCTCACATGGATTGGCTTTCTGGCTCGTAAAACAAGCCTAAACCCCCATAAACGCGCATGCTTGTACAATTCAAGAAGGATTCTGTAGTTGACCAGTGTCGAGCCTCTGAGTTAACCCCTTAAACCCCTATCTAGAGCGTCGTTTCCAAACTTAAGAAAAGTACCCGTAATTTCGGTACGCTTCCTCCGTTTGAGGCACAACCCCAAACCCCAAACACTAGAACCCTGGAACCCTGGAACACTAGATCCCTAGAACCCTAAACCCCCTAAACCCCCTAAACCCCCTAAACCCCCTAAACCCCCTAAACCCCCTAAACCCCCTAAACCCCCTAAACCCCCTAACCCCCTAAACCCCCTAAACCCCCTAAACCCCCTAAACCCCCTAAACCCCCTAAACCCCCTAAAACCCCCTTAAACCCCCTAAACCCAAACCCTACACGCTAAACCCCCTAAACCCTAACCCCCTGAACCTATAACCTGCGGATCGCTGCCAGCCTTGAGTCGGAAGATGTGCAAGGACCTTGCATTCTTACTTAAACCCTAAACCCTAAACCCTAAACCCTAAACCCTAAACCCTAAACCCTAAACCCCAGGTACTTCCAAGTAGGGTGTTTAGTACCTTAACCACGGTGATAACCATAGTGACCCTGCGTGCAACCCTTCCCTAAACCCTAAACCCTAAACCCTAAACCCTAAACCCTAAACCCTAAACCCTAAACCCTAAACCCTAAACCCTAAACCCTAAACCCTAAACCGGGGTAGTTGCCAGGGCCCCTACTATGGGCCTTGGCTTGCTCACAGGGCTTCGGAATTGCAGGATATTTGGACTTGGGGGCTCAAAGGGCCTCAAGAACCTGAACCCTAAACCCTAAACCCTAAACCCTAAACCCTAAACCCTAAACCCCAAACCCTAAACCCTAAACCCTAAACCCTAAACCCTAAAGCCCAAAAAAGTGTACACTTTCGGTTCTATAGGGGGTTAGAGTATCCCAAGAAGTGTAAAGTGTACTCACTCAGCTACTGAGCAAAGTAGTATTCCATTTTGAGGCTGCAGGCCTTTAGGCTTTAGGGTTCGTAGGGCTTCTGAGGCTTATGGAGTGGTTTAGGATTTAGGGTTCGTAGGGCTTCTGAGGCTTATGGAGTGGTTTAGGGTTCAGGGTATAAGGTTCAAGACCCAGGCAAAACCCTCTCAACGCAGAACCCCGAAACCCTAAACCCTAGGACCCCAACCTAGGCCACATTTTCTATCCTTAGCAAAGAAGGGAAGTATGTGTTTCAAACAGTTTGGGGTATACAGTTTTCTCTGCTTCCTTCTCCAAGAACCAAGGAATGTTGAACATGTGAAACCTTATTCTTCCTACAGAATGAGGAAGCCCTCCAAACTTTAAAGCTCAACTATTGACCAAGTAAGTCTAGGTACAGCCCCCTTCACACCCGCTGAACCCCAAAACCCTAAACCCTAAACCCTAAACCCTGTAAACCCGAAACGAACTTCAACCCCTAAACCCCGAGGCTGCTGCATTGTCGAGGAGTATGCGAAGGCATCGCTGGACGCTGCGATTGTGTCTCGGTGGTACCCCTGCGGAGGGAGGTGCATGAAGATAAGGGGTTGAGGGTTAAGGGTTGGGGGTTGAGGGTTTAGGGTTGACTACTATTCGCTTAAGAACCCCGAAAAAAACGAAAGATAACCATCCCCATATTGCCCGTACAAGGAGTAATGTTTGTTATTTGCGCTCGTACGCAAATGATAACTTAGGGTCAGTGGCTCAAGAGGCAAGATGTTGCAGGAAAGCAGACGGCTGTCTCTCGACAAGCGTTCTGGATAGCAGCGCTCTGAAGCATTCTTTGAACCAAAAACCTAGAATCCCAAAAGAGCACCACAGAACCCCATATGCTACATGCACTCACCAGTTTAAAAATAAACAAAGACACATAAAAAGACACAGAATCAGCCGCTGGCCTGGACGCCCGATGGTATCAGGCGTAGTGGTCGCAGCATGGCCAAAGATGATCTGCAAGTCACTGGTGTGTGAATCCTTGTTACCTCCCCTCCTGGGACTCCGACTCCCCTCCTGGGCTCATAAGTAGCTCTTACTGCCGGGGGCCCCATGAACCCTCCGGAGCCAAAAGGGGGGACGTGTCCATGACGGCATCGTCATGAAGAGGCTCTGTGACGATTGCTCGATTCGTAGGATCAGACTTGGCTGGATGTAGCCCATGTGGTACTGCGACTCTCCCTGGCACCCTCTGGCGAGGTTGCCGTTTGAATTTTTAAGCCAAGCCAGCATCTGTGTATCAGGCAGGTCTTGTAGCCAGCTGCTTGGGATGCTAATCCTGCTGCATGTTGCTTGAAGTTCTCGCCGGCATGCAAGAAGTCTACATGCACATGTTGACATGAATGCGTCCCCATGCACCCCCCTGGCTGAGCCGAGAGACAACGAATGCAGTCTGTGTTGCTGGTACCGCTGGACCCACCGTCAGTCTATCCCCTCTAGTACAGCTCTATTGACCATGACAGCAGCCGGCTGCCACAGGAAATCTCCCCAATCCGGGCTCGCGGCCTAGCAATCTGAGACCCTAAGCCCTGTAGACCCTAAACCCCCTCGAGTTTAGGTTTCAGGTCTCGTTTAGGCAACTTTTGGCATGGGGGTTGAACAAAAACGAGGGCATCCGACATACTAAGACCTTTATAAGCTATCATGAAGAGAATCGCAGTGCAGCTTCCAGGTTTTGTCCGCGTAAAGGAGCCCAGTACTTCCAGTGCCCCTATAAACCCTAAACCCTAAACCCTCAATCCTAACCCTAAACCCCTAAACCCTAAACCCTAAATCCTAAACCCTAACCCCTAAACCCTAAATCTAGTTATTCAGGCCCCTTTTCTTACTTCCAGTCGCGGTCAGGTACGAGGAGGTCGGCCTGACGCAGCCGGTCGAGCAGACGAACATGCATCTCGACTGGGGCGATGGTGTTCGCCTAGGATGGCCCTCACAAAAACCTTTTGAGAAATTGGGTTATAGGGTTTAGGGTTTAGGGTTCCTGAATATGATCCCCTTAAACCCCATAAGGGAAAATAGACAAATGTCCCAAGGGCCTGCCTAGTAGCGACTCCTGCAGCATTTCCAGCGACGGCAGGAACGCCAATCCCTGGGAAGGACCCCTCGCCCACGCACCAGAGACCCTCCAGCGGCGTCTGCGGTGAGGGATAGCCCTGCTGACCAGCCCGGTATGCAGGACCATAGGTGCCTTGGTGCCGGTTGAGGAAGCGCTCGTGGGTCAAAGGCGTGCCCACCATCTCAATCACAACGCGCTCCCGAATGTCGGGGATCACTTGCGCAACCGCCTGCCACAGCGGCATCGCGCGCTCCTCCTTCTTGCGCTTGTACTCCTGCGACCGGCGGTCCATCCCCGCCCACACGTCGTAGGGCTCGGTCGCGGGCAGGTAGGCATGCAGGCAGGCGTACCCTTTGGGCGCAGCGGTGTCGTCGATGGCACTGGGGATGGAGATGAAGACCAGGTTATCTGTTGCATCCACCGGCAAACTCAAGTCCTTTGCAGTGATGTGGTGCACACCCAGTTCAGACAGGTCGAGGCCGTCAGTTCGAAAGCCTAGGTGCAGGTGCATGAAGCTCGGACACAGGGGCACGCCCTCCACGTCCAGGGCGGAGCCCTTAACCTTGGCTCGCCACTCCTTCGGCAGCAGCTTCGATGCCGTGTTCCACACATCCGCATTGCAGAGCACCGCCAGTCGGGCGTCCAGGCGCTCGCCGTTCTTCAGCTCCACGCCGGTGCAGCGACCCGTCTCGTCGACCACCAGCCCCTCCACGCGCGTGCGCAGGCGGAGCTCACCACCGCGCTTCTCGACGGCGCGCAGCAGGGCGTCCACCAGCGCACCCGAGCCGCCCTTGGGATAGTCCATAACCGCGCCGGGCGCAAAGAACTCCCGCATCATGAAGGAGACGCCTGCAGCTTGAGTGCCACTTGCCGGGAGACCTTGCAGTGCAAATGCCAGGAAGTCGAAGAACCATCCGGTCAGGGAGGAGTCGGGCACCCCCCCTGCTTTCAGCACCTCGGAGAAGGGGGCCGAAGGGCTGATTCCTGACATCACCATGGCCAGCCCAGCCAAAGGATCCATCTTCCTTATAGGGGAACCAACTGAACCCCGAAAGGGTTTACGGTTCATGTAATCAAATACCCTTTGAATGAACCCTGTTTAGGGTTTAGGGTTTAGGGTTTTAAGGCCTATAACGGTTCATGACTCATACACATGTAGGTGTTACTGTGGTCCCCAAGGTTCCCAAAGTATGGCAGCAATGTCTGCGCCGCCCCCAGGTCCGCCCTCAAGGCCTTGGTTCCCGAGAAGCCTCGGAACAAAAAGGGGGGGTTTAGGGTTTCGGGTTTAGGGTTTAGGGTTTAGGGAAGGCCGATCTTCTTCTTAAGTTTTGCCTTCCAGGGGTGACAAAGAAAGGCTACCTGACCTCTGCTTGCACAGAGAAAAGGGAAGCGCGGGGGGGGGGGGGGGGGGGGGGGGCAAAAACGAAGCTAGATGTGCTAGCCCCTATTTCGGCCTAAACCCTAAACCCTAAACCCTAAACCCTAAACCCTAAACCCTAAACCCTTAGGCCCTAAACCCTAATCCCTAAACCCTAAACAAGAAAACAGAAAAGAGGGTACGCCCTGAGGTCCTAGAGGCGATTGGGGGGATGGCGGCAATCAGCTCGCCAAGCGGCCTGTTCGCCTCCCGGAGTCCTTGGGGTTTAATTTAGGGTTTTTAGGGTTTAGGGTTTGGGGTTTGGGGTTTGGGGTTTAGGGTTTAGGGTTTAGGGTTTAGGGTTTAGGGTTTAGGGTTTAGGGTTTAGGGATACACCCTCAAAGGGCTATAAAGGTCCATCTAAATCTCATAAACGGATCTCTAGCGGTGAATGGTCCATTTAAACCCTGTAAAACCAAAATTGTTGCAGGGATGTATAACTAGTAAGCCTAAACCCTCACCCTAAACCCGAAACCCTAAACCCTAAACCCTGAACCCTGCACCCTGAACCCTGAACCCTAAACCCTGTAGGGTTTAGGCAAGTCTTTGCTCATTCGGCTGTAGAGGTCGCTCCCAGATCTCCGCCTCGGCCTCGTCGCCGCTCACGCGGCAAAGCTCACGGCCGAAGGACGCGGCATCGCCGGAACCTTAGGATAGGCTTTAGGGTTAGGGTTTAGGGTTTAGGGTTTAGGGTTTAGGGTTTAGGGTTTAGGGTTTAGGGTTTAGGGTTTAGGGTCTAGGGTTTAGCGTTTAGGGTTTAGGGGTTAGGGGGGTTAGGGGGGTTAGGGGTTTGGGGGTTAGGGGTTTGGGGGTTAGGGGTTTGGGGGTTTGGGGGTTTGGGGGGGGGGGGGGGGGGGGGGGGGTGAAGAAGTCATACAGGGAAGGCGAAGGGTTTAGGACTTGACTGCGAACTACATATTTTTGGGCTCTTCCGGAGTGCGTGGAACATTAGCATAGGGGGAAACATCCCAAATCATGTGCTGTATCAGTTGAAATGATGCACTTCTTGGCGGGCTTTCAAGTTCGAGTTAATCCGAATCTCACAGTAAGGCACCTACATCGAAGATCTTGTCGCCTGGCAGGTACATCTTCCAGCGTCTGTACGGCAACCATTCCGGCGTCTCGCCCACAGAGTCCAAAACTTGTCTCAGCGGATTGGCAGAGGGCGAGCTCATGCCGGAGAAAAGCGATGGCCCGCTATCCTCGGTAGCCCAGTAACCATGTCAAACTAAGCGTACGCTTTTCGGGGCTTGTTCCTTTATAAGGGAACCTTGGGTACCACTGCTTAGACGACTGTTTGACTTGACAAGCCTACTTGTTCCCCCCCCCCCCCCCCCCAAAAAAAAAAAAAGCCATTATAATCCCCAATAACCCACCTTACTAACCCTACAACTACTCTAAACCCTGAACCCCAAACCCTAAACCTAAACCCTAAACCCTAAACCCTGAACCCTAAACCCTAAACCCTGAGAGGCTACCAAGTATCAAAGCGAAAGGTTCCCACGCCCCGAACCTTCCGCACGAAGCCGTGGGCTGCGCCCCCAGGATGCTCATGCGCTTCGCAGATGATGACCTTGGGGACCAAATGAACCCTGAAAAAGGGTTTAGGGTTTAGGGTTTGGGGTTTAGGGTTTAGGGTTTAGGGTTTAGGGTTTAGGGTTTAGGGTTCATGACACCTTAGTGACTGTAGGAGATATAGTAGTATAGGAGTTATAGTAACTGTAGGGTATAGGAACCCAATTTTAGGGTTCATTCCGTCCGCAAGGGGCCCGGTAGCCATACATTGCCAGCATGGCGGCAGCGGATAGCCCTGCAATTCCGCTCCCGACCACCACGATGTCATACGTCTTCGGCCCCTCGGGAGTAGCTGCCCGAGCCGTCCTTGGGCGGTTGCGTCCTAAGCGCGGGAATGCGCCTTCGCATGCAAGATGTGATCGGCCACGCGGAGGGGACACCCAAGCTCGCTGCATACCGTGTGGGAGCACACGTAGCACCAGCAAGATACCCAAGCTCAGCATCGCTCGCACCCTCCACCTCGCCATTGTGGAGTGCGCCCAGGCACGCTCGGCCATCATGGGCTGCTTGGAGGTGTGTGGGGTGATTTCTTGGAAGCCAGTTTGACGTGGTAAGGAGGCTTAGTTATGGGGGTTCAAAGACGGGTGCTCTAGCGGATATGAAGTAGACTTACTAAGTCAAAAGATCCTCCAAGTATAGGTGGTTATAAGTAGGGTGGCTATGGTCATAACCTTATTTGGGGTACTTCTATATCCCTACCTATAAGTACCCTCTGATCCTTCTCAAGTATCAGTGCTACGACGTGCTGTACCTTCGCTGTCGGTACATCGAAACCTCGCATATGTTGCCTGAGCCCGGCCTCAGGGTGTTATAACATGCGAACATTGGGGACTAAATGAACACCAAAAGGGTTCATGGCCCATATATCTTGATAAGGACTACATTGGCACAGGGTACCGGTCCCTCTCTGATCCCTTGCAGGTGTTTTGTGCTTTTTCTTCGGTGGAGGGGGGGGGGGGTTAGGTACCCAATCCTCGGAGCCTCATTTCAAGAAACCAGTAAGTGCAACCTCGTGTTGCTTCAGGAGCTTGAAGCAGCCTCAGGGCCATAGGACCCAGGATTCACAAACCCGCCGCTCAGCGGCTCTCGATCTTACAAGGATGTGTTTTTGGTGGCTTCTAGCTTTCAATGATGCATGTAACGACTTATGTCTCATACCGGCACCTTCGATTTCACGAATAGGTACATCCGAAACTTGGGATGTTCCCCCTTATACTAACAGTCCTTAATGGGGATTATAAAAATGTGGTACTACAATCCCTATGAAGGACTGTTAGTATAAAAGGGAACATCCCAACCCAAACCCCAAACCCCAAACCCCAAACCCAAAACCCCAAACCCCAAACGCTAAACCCCAAAGCAGTGCATGTATCTCCTACAGAGGGTCTGGGACCTCCTAGGGACGGCTCTGGGGTCTTAACTCCTTCACATGTTGAGGGCCCAAGAAACTTATAGGGCTTGAAACCCCAAATCGAAAATCTTATAAACCCTCATTGATTCGGGTTCAGGTTCAGGGTTCAGGGATTAGGGTTTAGGCTTGAGGGTTCAGGGTTTAGGACTAGGGTTTAGGGAGGCTTCAGGCTTTGGGCTTCAGTCTTGGGTTCGTCTCGCTTTTGTGGGAACGGTTCCATGGCGAAGCCAATGAATTAGGGTTTCGGGTTTAGGCTTTAGGGTTTAGGGTTCAGGGTGAAGTATCCCATGTAGCCTCAGACAAGAGAGATATACCCACACTAAGGGCACGCTAGACATTGGACTTCCTATTTTTGGCCAGCTGCTCCAGATAGATGCTTGGAACCATACGATAGGGGCTTAGGGTTTAGGATTTCGGATTCAGGCTGAGGGCATATCGTGGCAACCCTATAGCTTTGCATCCAAAACCATACGCTGCAACGTCCACACCACTCACTGGAAAGGTGACGAGCGTGCCGGCAGACCTCAGCAGGAAAGGCCTAAGGCTCTAAGGACTCTTATTTCAGAGGTTTTTTGGCCCAAAGGCCTTCCTATAGAAGGTTTTTGGGCTGATTCGAGCCAAAGTATCAAGGCTTGTGGAAGGGGTTTAGGGTTTCGGGGCGGCAGAGGACCTGCGGTGCTCATTCTGGGGGGACTTCAAAACGGAGTCCTTGGAGCCTTATATAGGATTGGGGTTCTCGCTGTTTGGAGCCTGCACACCAACACCAACAATAACCCCTACAGTAAACTCGTGAACGCTAACCCCGAACCCTGCGGACCATCAGCCTCAATCTCCACAGTCGAAACTCAGCCTAAACCGTACCTTTATATACCCACCCTCTGAGGCGATATGAGAGAGAGAGAGAGAAGGAGAAGGAGAAACCCTAAATATCTATATCTATATATGGATAGAGAGAGAGAGAGAGTTTTTTGACTTTGAGATCGCAGAACGACAGGCGTCCCTTGCGCGGTCAGTAGGCAGAATAGTGTCCGGCTGAAAGCTATGTACCGTTGTACACACCTAAATAGAGAATCAGAGACGCACCCCGCCCCTGAGAGAGAGAGAGAGAGCGAGAGAGATGAGAGAGAGAGAGAGAGAAGGACAACAAAACTACACCCTAAACCCGTCCCTCATTAAAAGGAATCAGGAAGTTCTCTGTCAGCCCTCACGAAGCGGGTGTGCGGGTTCCGGGTTCTCGGACGAACAAGGTTTAAGATTCAGGGTGGGTTTAGGATTGACACTTTAGGGGCAGCGCACAACCCTGTAAGCCAATCCTAAAAGGCTGCAAAACCTCTACGAAACCGAGCCTCCGCACCCGACAAGCTGGGAGACCCCTACATCACCCTCTACAGTAGCCTCTCCAAGCCAACCCCACCTTTGAGAAGGCCTGAAACCTCAGGGTTCAGGGTTCAGGGTTCAGGGTTCAGGGTTTAGGGTTTAGGGTTTAGGGTTTAGGGTTTAACTTTTTCTGCGCCAGCCGGAGATGAATCACTCCTGCGGGATGTCTTGCCCAGGAAGCCAGAGACTTCTCAGCGCGAGAACAAGGACCCCACTCAGTTTAAGCTTTAGGGTTTAGGGTTTAGGGTTTGGGGTTTGGGGTTTAGGCGTATATCTATCTTGCTTGAGGAAGGGTCTTTAGCCCCCTGAGATTGTGCAGCTGAGCTGGCGAATTCGCGTCGTCGCACTGCGTCAGACATGGTCTGCCCTAAACCCTGAACCCCAAACCCTAAACCCGAAACCCTAAACCCTAAACCCTAAGCCCTTGACCGGTTTGGGGGCTTCTTTCTCGTCCAAAGGGCAACTGCAGAAGATAATGTGGAGGTTCACTCAGCGATGCACGCAAAGCTGTAGGGATGTTGACCACTGTCAGCTCTGCGGCGCCCGTTTGCCACACTGTCATAGACAGCTTAAGACTTAGTAGCCCTGTCACCTTATTCCAAAAAGGATACCCACACTAAACCCTAAACCCTAAACCCTAAACCCTTTGTTGGGGTTGGTTCCTTTAGACGGGAACCTTGAACCAAAAAAAGGCAAAAGGGTACCACTGGGTTACCAAGGTTTTACGGCTTTAGGGTTTTTAGGGTTTTACGGTCAGGGCTTTACGACTTTAGGCTTTAGAGTTTAGGGATTAGGGTCTTAGGGCTTTAGGGTATACAGGGTATAGGGCTTTAGGGTCTTATTAAGAAGAGCAGAGAGAGCTTGGGGCCTCTACAGTTTGGAAACTTCGGTCGGTTTGGGGGGGCTGGCTCATTGAAAGACAGGGAAAGGGTATGAAACTTAGAACACGAACACGTGAAGCTAGGTCCTGGGCCCTTGCCCTAAACCCTAAACCCTAAACCCTAAACCCTAAACCCTAAACCCTAAGCCCTAAACCCTAAACCCTAAACCCTTTCAGTCTATGGTTTGTTCTCACCCCCGGCTGTCCGAAATCGTCATAGGAAACGGGCGGGGACGTGCAATCGCATTTGCACATTGGAACCGGAATGCCTCTTCTGTTCTTGACGTTTAGGGTTTAGGGTTTAGGGTTTAGCTGAAGACTCTAGGTTCTTCTGGGGTGGTAATAGTATACAACAAGCCTTTATGGAAAACAACAGAACGGGCACCAAAAGGAACTACATTCGAGTCTTCAGGTAGTTTTCTCCAGCCTCATACTGCATCAGCCCTTCTAGGATTCTGAGGTGTCGCACAGTACATACAGAATGCTTCGGTTTCCCAAACTAAACCCTAAACCCTAAACCGAAAGGGACCCGACCTTTTTTAGACCAAACCGAATTATCTAGACTAAACCCAAAGTAAACGCTCAGCCGCAATTCAGCCCTCATCCGTAAAGCGCCGTCCGAATACTCGAGAACATCTAGGGTTTAGGGTTTTCAGATTTCAAGGCTCAGGGTTTAGCGTCCCTGAAACTTTTTGTTGAGGCTGTTGAGGGGTTCGGGTAGGGGATGTGGATTCTGCGTCCCGAGACCCTAAACCCTAAACCCTAAACCCTAAACCACTGTATTCCTTCGAGTTCAGAGTGCCACAGAGGCACAGAACTTGCAGTAAACCCTGCAAGTAAGGGTTCAGGATTCTAGGGTTTAGGGTTTAGGGTTTAGGGTTTAGGGTAAAGGATTTCGAAGGTCTGGGCACTCCCAAAGGAACGAAGCAGGA